TTTTTTTTTTTTTTTTTTTTTTTTTTTTTTTTTTTTTTTTTTTTTTTTTTTTTTTTTTTTTTTTTTTTTTTTTTTTTTTTTTTTTTTTTTTTTTTTTTTTTTTTTTTTTTTTTTTTTTTTTTTTTTTTTTTTTTTTTTTTTTTTTTTTTTTTTTTTTTTTTTTTTTTTTTTTTTTTTTTTTTTTTTTTTTTTTTTTTTTTTTTTTTTTTTTTTTTTTTTTTTTTTTTTTTTTTTTTTTTTTTTTTTTTTTTTTTTTTTTTTTTTTTTTTTTTTTTTTTTTTTTTTTTTTTTTTTTTTTTTTTTTTTTTTTTTTTTTTGTTTTACTGGGCACAGAACTTTTTTATAATGTATAATTCTGTTGCTCAACTTCTGGACTTTTGTACACATCCTTAGGAATGCATTTTGTCTGAAAGTCAAGCACTGCCTGTATATATAAATTCCTTAACAAAATTCAATATAAAAATTAATCTAGTGAAAAATTTAAAGTTGTGATTTCTAAGTATTAAAATTTTTTATATTAATTCCAAAAATTAAGTTTAAAAAATATTTAAATTTTTGATATAAGTATTGAATAAGATGATAATTGCTTCTACATTGTTTTTTGTATCAAACATTTATACTGACAATACTAAGATTTTTTCATGAATTATTACTTTCTATTCTGTTCTTAAAACATATTCAATATGTAATACAAAATAAAAGGCAAAATTAGTTTCTTTATTGGGACAATTTTTATACTGATCAAATGTTATATTAATAATTCTTCATGAATATAACTTTCTGTATCAAGTAGAGTGTAAAGCATATCCAGTTTAAGATACAAATTAGTCTGCATTTTTTTGTCAAGTGATTGTACTTCGGCTACTGCAAAGCAGTTCTTGGTACAGTCATTTCATATGAGAATTTTCTCTGTACAGAGTTCTAACTTCATAGTGCAGATAATTTGGAATTTTTTAGAATTCATATTAAAAATATATGTTACATAATATCACATAAATATTCATATATAATGTTTTAAGAGATTATTTTTAATCTGAGTTCCACTGTTCTTTTGAAATCACATTTTCATGTTTTAAATGTTCAGATTTATGTCATATGATGTAATTTTTATACTGTATAATAATCACTTCAATATGAATATTTCAAAATCAGTTCAATGAAGTCATTTTGATGAAATAAATTTTATGGAAATGGCATTAAAATTATATGATTTAATTTCAATATTTTTTTTACATTTTAGTTTCATATTTAGTTTGGTTTATCATCCATTTTCAATAAACTTTTCTAATTTATTCTAATTAAACTATATTCAGTTTATCTCTTTAACATTACTCATTCAATCTAGATAGATTTGGCATGCACAAATTTTTATAAGTTAAATATATCTGTTTTGGCATACAGATTCTCATACAATCTAGACTTTCATAATTTTACATTAATTTGTTGTAGTAATTCAATTAATTTGTTGATTAAATCATTCTTGTACTTCACCTAAGCTGGTTAATACTGTTGTAGGTCAGATCTGCTTGTAATGAGCAAAATTGTAGATAGTTGTATAACTTATTAACACTTCACATCAATAAATTAAATTAAATTAAATTTTTTTTAACATTTTCAAACTTTTGATATTTGTAATGAAGAACTTTGAAAGACTCAAAATGTTATTATTGTGTTCAAATGTATAAATGTGTTCATATATACAGTAGAGCGTCGTTTATCCGAAAGCTGGTTATCCGAAACGTCCGTTATCCGAAAGCATTCCAGTCGGCGAATTTAAATTTTCGCTAGTGCTGTGGCGCTGCAATCTTTGGCTATTTCTCGGGCTACTCAAATATTTTACGTTTTTGATACTAAATTAACATCTGAAGTATAATTTTTTATTGTTTTTATATTTTTCAATANCGTTATTTAAAGGTAATTTTTATTATAGGCCTATAGACCTAACACAGCATTATTAATATGATTTTGGAGGTTACAAAACTTTAAAATTACTTTAAAAAATGGAAAATAATTATATCATTTGATTTCAAGATATTTTGTATACCTTAAAAATAATTAATTCTATCCCGGGAAACAGTTCACTTTTATCCCGGGATCCCGGGACAAGCAAAATACCGGGAAATGAGAAACCCTAATTCACACCTTTCTTACACTTTCCAGCATTAACTGTTGGAAAGTTGAGAAAGGTCAACTTAAAATTCATATAACTAATTTTAAAAATTTATTTCAACAACAAGTGATTGATCTTCATGATTTTATGTCAAAAATCCTAAATAATTTTAATAACATTTCATTAATTTTCTCTACATTTAAAGAAGAGTGTGTTCATCTTTTAAATTAGAAAATGTATTTGATAAACTTGCAGTTATTCAAATTAATGAAAAATAAAACTATTATAATAAACCAGGAAGTTTAAACAGCAAAATTTAGAAGTAATTTAACAAAAATCTTCCTTGTTTTGTATTTTAATCAAAAAAAATAAATTTTTTATTCAGTTAATGAACAAGTTATTAAAAAGGTGATTAAATATAGTAAATTAATATTATTTTATTGGTTTTTATCTGTTTTACAATGTTTGGAGATTTTTTTTCTAGAAAATAGATTTTAACAAAACTTAAAATATTGATTTTTAAAGTTGAAATTTGATATTTAAATTAAAGATGTTTTTTAATCCAAACAACAACATCTGAGATTTAAAAGAATTGTGCCAAGTAAAAAATTATGACAGTCAAATTTTTTTAGAATTTTTTCTTTGATAAAGATAAACTTAATGCTTCAATGCAGAATGTAAAAAACATTAATACAGGTAAAAGATCTTGTGAGTACTGCTTTTAAATGCCAAGCTTACCATAGCAAAACTCCTAAGAAAAAATTTGACCGTCATCCAAATTGTCATAATTTTTTATTTGGCGCAATTCTTTTACATCTCAGACATTTTTGTTTGGATATCAACTATTTTTTGGTTATTGATTATTACATCAAGACCTGAGATGATGAAGTACAGTTCGGTTGGTGCTTGGCAACATGACTGCTGCCAACCAAAAGCTTTCAATGTGTCGTTAGTAAAATCATTATAAAATGTTCTAATTTGCATAAGTTTGAGCTTTTTTTAATCCTGGGTTAAATTTCAACAAAAATCTGTTGTTTTGATGCAATTTTATCTTTACAAGCATAAAATTAAGTGATAAAAGTAAAATAGCTCTATGGGAAACCCCATAAACTTTGATCTGTTGACTCGGAAGTTTCACCAGCACTTCACTGATAATGAGTAATGCTTAAGTTTAAAATTTGAGCTTTCTATACCCAGTAGTTATTTTCCCTAAGAGCACCTGCAGTGCTAGGTGAAGAAAAGAAGAAGAAAGTACAGCTTTTTTGGTGATTTTTGCACTCCCTTTACAGAAAACCCAAAATTTTGTACACTACCTAAGAAAATGAGTATCTTTCAAATAAGATATGAATATCTTTGAATATACTTACTATAGGTGTTTGGGGTGAGATATCAACCACTGAAAATCAGCAACTCTTAATTCCTGTATATATATAGTCAAGTGAAAAACATCAAGTGAAAAAGTCACTGACTGACTAGTCAGTGACTTTTTCACTTGATGCAAAGAATTGCCATGATTCTCGATGTAACTATACCATAAAAAATTATATCACTTTGTTCAAGAATAAAGAATTACAGTAATTTATGTTAAATGATAACTAATCATTAAGATTACTATTAATTTTTATATTTTATTTTATAAACTAATTTATTTTAAACTCATAATTATAGTTAATTTTAGAAAACTTTATAAAACTTTAAAAGTTGCTTAAGCATGATTGAAAACCTGAAGATATCAAATTAATGTCCATTTTGATTTCAAAACTAATAAGAAATAGATGTGTGTTGTGTTATGATATACTGAGTATAATTAACATATTACTTTTATCTTTTTCATATACCTTTACTTTGTTGGTGTTTTTGAATATTGCAATTTTTTTTTATTTATATATATATAATCACTTGGGCACTTGCTGGAGACATGTTTTATGTAATGGAACAATTGATAAGCACATTTGAATAGTCAAATAAAAGTGATAGGAAGGACTCGTAAGAAATGGGATTCCTAAAGAATGGAACTTATCTATGATCTTATAGGAGGGGTCGACTGTAATCAACTTTTTTTTATTTATATATATTGTTTACTTAATTATTACAAGAGATCACAAAAATATTACAACTTTTTGTGTTTGCTTTTCTTACAATACAAAATTTTACCGTTTTGGAAGTTTTTAACGAAAATTTTTTTCCCTTATTCTTAAGAAACTAATCTCATAAAAAAGTAACTCTTATAGCGTCTAACTGAGATTTGTTAAACAACCACAGGTAATATAATCACTTCTACTTTTAAGACTCAGGAACATTTAAACGAGTTATGTAGTTCAGTTTTTACAATTATTACATAGCATTGTTGTGGAACTATGCACTTTGCAAATAAATTTCAAACAATTGTTGCACTTAGTAGCATACAGTAGACCCCCTATAACGCTTAGATACGTTCTACTTTATAAGAATTTTACGTTGTAGGAATCCTTAAATACATGAGCCAATCACAGCCCCACACATGTGAAGTTTACGGACTGAAGTTTAAGGTTTTCTGCTATAAAAATTAACCGATTCNTTTAGAAGTATTATTATTATTATTATTTAATAACAATATATAATAAAAAGTAATTTGCCATAAGAAAAACTTTCTAATATTTTATTGATATAAACTATCATGGAGTATAAATTATTATGAATAACTTAGACTTAATAGACAAACCAGTCTTGGCAGTATTGCATGTTAAATAGGATTTTCATGAAATTACATAATGAAATCCATTATAGATTTAATGTAATGGTTTTTTTATTTTTTTAAGCTTTTATTAATTAAATGTTTTGAATAAATATTTCAAATAATTGAAAATAAATTATTATCTAGAGTCAAATGATATTTATTTATTTTTATTAGTGTATAAATGAAATTTTGGAACAAGCTGTTGTTTACATCAGTTATTTGAAGGATTCAAATGATAAGTTACTTCAAGAAAAATGTTCAGAGGTGCAAGGTAAAAAGTCTTATTTTTTTAAACGCATGTAAACTTTCTTTTTAAATGCATTTGTAAGAATTGATATATTTGAAGATGTGTGATATTTTGATGGTATCATAAACGAGTCAGTTTTTACACAATTTTACAAAAATTTATAAAACAATTAATTTAAATTGTTGAATTTCCTATTTATAAATGAATTTTATATGAAGTTTAAAATAATGTTTATAATGTTAATAATAATGTTTATATGCAGTTTAAAACAAAAAATGAAATGCATTAAAGCATATTCTGAAGTATACGATAGTTTCAAAAATAGTCATTAACTCAATAAATGAACTAGAAAAATGCAAAAAATCATTTAATACAAAACTATATTTTACAACTTAAATTTCCTGGATTATGTTAGGCATTGTATCACTTAACTTTCTGCAGATTCCTGATTCATTATTATTCCAAATAGCTTCTGTTCATTCCCAAAGTTTTTTTTATGTTTGATGATATACCTTCAGTTGTTTTAATTAAATTAACAGCTGATAACTCATTCTATATTTTTATATATTTGCCTAACTTTAATAGTGTTTGAATTAGTGTTTTTCTATAATCATTGTTTTCCTTATTAAAATGCTACTGTTATGATTTCAGTTACTCTGCATTCTTTTTATATTTTTTCTTTCATTGAAAATATGTAGAATGGTTTCAAACTAAGAGATAAACTCAAGTGGATTCCTGGCAGGTCAACGAACAAAAATAGTCCTATTAACACATCTTGAAATATACTGGTTCTAAGATAATTGATATGATTAGTGTCATGAACTGTACACACAGGATATAACATCACACAACAGTGTGGCAAACATATCTCATGTTATAATCACAACAGATGCTCAAAATATCCTCCATTGGTCTCAATGCAAGTGGTCACGCATCATCTCTTGATATAACCAGGTGTGCTCGTACATTGGAGCACTTGGGGCATGTGCCCTGCTTTTTTGTCTCGGTTGCTTTTTTCCTAATCCCCAAGGGTGCCCATTATCAATAAAGTACAGAAAATTTATGACTTCTAGCCTATTCTACAAATATAAAAGAAACTAATGAATGATATTTGTCCATTGTCCCATGCATCATTTTATGTTGACCAAAACTGCATTCCTTGTTTTCAAAGCTAAGTTAGCATCTAGTACAATCAGAGTCATCTTGTGAGAGTGCTGATCCAATGTTGAATTATAGAGTTTGAAGCTTTATTGCATAATGTGTGATGCTCATTTTTATAGTTTGTGTCCCCATTTTTATAGTCTGCCATTGGATATAACTATGGTACAGTTGCAGTCTCTTGAACATTCCCAATTGCTTTCCTGTATGTGAATATCATGTCTGTTTGTTCTTGATAGGAATAATGGATTATTCTCACAGCACTACACAGTACACTTGCATCATGAACCTGTTTGACAGACAGACAACATACAGCATACTCCCACTTTCACTGCTATGATTGCTGATAAGAAAATTTGATGTCATGATGCCCATGGTGTCATCTATCTACAGTGCATTTCTAGACATATATTAATATGACCATTTTTGTTCTTTGTCCTTCCAGGAATCCACTACTGAAGTTTGTTCCCATAGTTTTGAACTATTTTGTATAATTATGTAATTTATGGATAGGTGTATAAATAAGCTATTATCAAATTACATAACTCTTTTTTAATTTAACTTTTCTCTTAATATGTTTATTATTATTTTGTTCATTATGTATATCATTGATTCATTTATGATATTCTCTTTGTTAAAAATATTAATAAAGAAAGAAAGATTTTTTTTCTAAAGTTTGTTAATTTATAAAAATAAGAAATAATTGATTAATAAATATATATTTTATAATTTATTTTTCATACTACTATTATATATGAAGTATAGGTTTTCACTCAAATGTACATAATTTCAGTTACCTGTGAAAAATAATAATTCAACATGTAATGAAATAGGTTTTGTCTAAAAGGAAAGTTGAAAAGTTCCATTTAAACAAATCACCTTATTGTTATGTGCCCCAGTAGAGTGCACAGACAACTCAAGGTGCTAGATGATCTCTTGCTGTGTAATTTGTAACATGTCCGTGATCATTAGTGGTGATGGCTGTAATGATGCATTTAATGAAGATTCTCAAGGTCCGTCAATTTTGTTGCATAAACTTTGTGTTTCACATAACTCCAGAGAAAGAAAGTGAGAACAGGTGAACTTGAGGCCATGCAGTCAGTCCTCCCCTCCTAATTCAGCATTTGTGGAAAATCTGGTCCAGAGTTTGACAAACTTCTCTCTGCAATTGTTGTAGTGCGTCATTTTGTTGAAGCAAACAAACTTCAGGAAGCAGATGTTGAATTTGAGAGAAGAAGAATAGCTCCAACATGTTGGTGCATGTAATTTCATTAACAGTTTCCTCAGAGAAAGTGGAAGGCCTCAGTTAGTGAGAGTGCCTACCAAATATTGAATTTAGCACTGTTTCAAGTGTGTCCAACAAAAGCATGTGGATTTTTGTCCCCCTGAATCATGTAGTAAATTCATCTTTCCTGACAGATGAAACATTGCCTAATTGGAGAGGAATTCTTGGACAGGAAATTGACCTACCATCTTGATCTCTGTGTACTGGAGTACACATAGAGAGATGATTCGTTTAAATGAAACTTTATGAACTTTCCTTTCAGACAAAACTTGTTACATTATATCCTGAACTATTAACTCTTCACAGGTAACTTAAATTAGGTATATTTGAGTGGAATGTCTGTACTTGAATAATATAAAATTTCAAGACCTTAAAGTTTGAAATTTTATGTATTTTGAATTTTCCTTATTAAAACTTAAGAATTTAGAGAACAGTGTTTTAATTTGAGTAATTTTTTTTAACTGTTTTCCTCAGTAACAAAGTCACAATATTCTATTATTGTACCTATTCACTGCAGTTTTACTTCTTGGAACAATAAAAACCAAATATAATGAAGAACATTAAAATGTGTTTCTGACTTAGTTTTAAAATTAGGCTAATATCTTTGATTAGTATGCTTTAAGTAGATGGTGTAATTATCTGATGATAAGTTTAATAATTAATTTAAAATAATTAACCAATTAAAGTAGTAAATTGATCTAATTTAAAACCATCTGGAAAGAACAGCTTAGTGTGTAGTTTAAACTGGTAATTCCTGCATACTGAGAGGATATGTTACTAATTACACTACTGAATTATATCAACCTAAAATTCAGACTGTATGAATTTAGAATTTATATATAGTTCTAATAGTTGCTTATTACTAAATTCAGCATTCATTACATTTGGTTTTATCCTAAAGCAGGTAAGTATTGTTATTTATGTTCAGTGATTAATATTTGATTACAAATATGAATAATAATTATGAATCAAATTGAATTTAATTACTTACTTTCAATATACAGATGGTCTTTGACTTTTGGACAACTTGCTCTTTTGTACATACTTTAATACTCTTAAATTATTTTTCATATAATAAATTCAAACTTGTACATTTCAGCCAACAAACAAAAATTTCAAGTTATCATTCAGTGGCATTCTTTCTGCCAGTTTTGGTTTTCATAATAATAAAATCACTTGTTTTTTGCTTTTTTTAATCTACAGTCTGAACATATTAAATAATATTTTATGCATTGTAGCATATTCATTGTAGAAAAGTAAAACTTTTAGACTTTTAAAAAGAGATTTTATAACTTTTTTTTTTTTTTTTTTTTTTTTTTTACTGGGCACAGAACTTTTTTATAATGTATAATTCTGTTGCTCAACTTCTGGACTTTTGTACACATCCTTAGGAATGCATTTTGTCTGAAAGTCAAGCACTGCCTGTATATATAAATTCCTTAACAAAATTCAATATAAAAATTAATCTAGTGAAAAATTTAAAGTTGTGATTTCTAAGTATTAAAATTTTTTATATTAATTCCAAAAATTAAGTTTAAAAAATATTTAAATTTTTGATATAAGTATTGAATAAGATGATAATTGCTTCTACATTGTTTTTTGTATCAAACATTTATACTGACAATACTAAGATTTTTTCATGAATTATTACTTTCTATTCTGTTCTTAAAACATATTCAATATGTAATACAAAATAAAAGGCAAAATTAGTTTCTTTATTGGGACAATTTTTATACTGATCAAATGTTATATTAATAATTCTTCATGAATATAACTTTCTGTATCAAGTAGAGTGTAAAGCATATCCAGTTTAAGATACAAATTAGTCTGCATTTTTTTGTCAAGTGATTGTACTTCGGCTACTGCAAAGCAGTTCTTGGTACAGTCATTTCATATGAGAATTTTCTCTGTACAGAGTTCTAACTTCATAGTGCAGATAATTTGGAATTTTTTAGAATTCATATTAAAAATATATGTTACATAATATCACATAAATATTCATATATAATGTTTTAAGAGATTATTTTTAATCTGAGTTCCACTGTTCTTTTGAAATCACATTTTCATGTTTTAAATGTTCAGATTTATGTCATATGATGTAATTTTTATACTGTATAATAATCACTTCAATATGAATATTTCAAAATCAGTTCAATGAAGTCATTTTGATGAAATAAATTTTATGGAAATGGCATTAAAATTATATGATTTAATTTCAATATTTTTTTTACATTTTAGTTTCATATTTAGTTTGGTTTATCATCCATTTTCAATAAACTTTTCTAATTTATTCTAATTAAACTATATTCAGTTTATCTCTTTAACATTACTCATTCAATCTAGATAGATTTGGCATGCACAAATTTTTATAAGTTAAATATATCTGTTTTGGCATACAGATTCTCATACAATCTAGACTTTCATAATTTTACATTAATTTGTTGTAGTAATTCAATTAATTTGTTGATTAAATCATTCTTGTACTTCACCTAAGCTGGTTAATACTGTTGTAGGTCAGATCTGCTTGTAATGAGCAAAATTGTAGATAGTTGTATAACTTATTAACACTTCACATCAATAAATTAAATTAAATTAAATTTTTTTTAACATTTTCAAACTTTTGATATTTGTAATGAAGAACTTTGAAAGACTCAAAATGTTATTATTGTGTTCAAATGTATAAATGTGTTCATATATACAGTAGAGCGTCGTTTATCCGAAAGCTGGTTATCCGAAACGTCCGTTATCCGAAAGCATTCCAGTCGGCGAATTTAAATTTTCGCTAGTGCTGTGGCGCTGCAATCTTTGGCTATTTCTCGGGCTACTCAAATATTTTACGTTTTTGATACTAAATTAACATCTGAAGTATAATTTTTTATTGTATTTATATTTTTCAATAAATTTATTTTGTTTGTACAAATTAAAAAAATAATTTTTAACGATACAATAGTCTTCGTTAGGCTTAACATCGACGAAAATTCAACGCGAAGCGACATGCAACGGAGAGAAATTTCAACATGGGATAAATTAATATATTTTTTCGTACATGATTCATTATCCGAAAAATGAGTTATCCGAACCACCCCAGTCCCCAATTGATTCGGATAAACGACGCTCTACTGTATAAATATTTTTGTGACAGTTTTACTATAGTGTGTTGTAATAATTCATTCAATTTGTGTAGTAAATACAAAAATTATGTACAAGTTTAAAATAGTAATTTTGTAAGAATGTAAATTATTTATGTATTGTTTAATATATTATTTTTTAATAATAATTACAGTGGAAGAATTAAGAAGAATGAACAAAAGAATAAAAGATTTGGAAGAGCAGAACACCCAGTGCCTGAGGTTATTGCAAGCAGCTGGAATTACATGTACTTCATGTCCAGAAGAATTTTGTGATCAGAAATCTGGAAAATATTCTAATAAAATTACTTCAGAACAGGCCAGTGCCTTATTAACTCAATTTGAGAATGACTTGATAGAAAGTAATGTGACAAAGCTCAAATCTGTGATGCAAAGAAAATTGCAAAATAAAAGTAGTTCTGTAAGTGGTGATAGCATGGATACAGAACTTAATTGCAATGGAAAAACTTCTGATGATGATATCAGTGAAACAAGTATCATTTCAGAGAAGAGCCTGCCTGTTTCTCATCCAAGAAGTTCTAAAATAGATGGAGTAGTGTCTTCTGGAACAATATCAACAGTTACAACATCTCCAGTTCCATCATTAACTGATAATAAAGATAATCAAATTACAAAAGTAGTTAACAGTGTTTCACAAAGCGTGTGTTCCTCCTCTCCACTATCAAAAAGTGTAGACAATTGTCAATACACTGAGCCATGTTCTTCAGAAGGTCCAAATCTGTCATTAGATGTATGTGATATAACTGCTGTAACTCAAGCATTGCCTCCAGTCCCTGTGATGTCAACTTCTCAGAATTCCAGTGCTCTTCAGAATAATGTTCAAAAACTTTGTAAACAAACAGTAGCATCTTTCAACCAAGTGATTCAACCTCAGGTGTTGTCTCCTTGTGGAACAATACCTCCTACTGCAAACAGAGCTTCTAGCATTCAGAATATGTCTTCACCACTTATTGTTATTAATGAACATGGTATTCCTGTAATTCACAATATTGTTACATTTCAGAGTGTTCAACCGCCCGTATTTTCAAATTGTTCTTCCTCTCCAGCCCTTCTAACTTCTACTAATAATGGATTTGGACAGACCCAATCACCTCTTGGAATTTCACCACAAATTGCTGGATGCAGTAGCTACAAATCTATGTATGTTACTAAGGATTTTCAAAATCAAGCTAAAATTACATCAACTCCCACCACATTTAGTGTTACTGTTACCCCAAATAATTCAGTAACTGGTGTTCCAATTTTAGCAGCTGCAACTGGTTATACTTCTACAATCCGTCCACCAAATACTCTTACAACTGAAGGCAAGAGTTTGCTGTCTCCTTTAGTTGCCCAAGTGCCTGTATCAGGTTCCTCACAGGAAAATACTATGAAGCTGTCGTCGGGTTTACCAACGTCCGCAATAGGGCAAGGAACACTCTCTCAAATCATCACTCATCCATCAGATGATTTAACAGCTTCAAATATGCATCTTCAATCATGCAACAGCCATAATTTATCTCAAAATATGCCTTGCAACGCTCTACCTCCGACAGTAGTAACTCCTGGTGGCATATTAGTTGGGCAGCCATTGACAATCAATCAACAAGGACAGGTATTAACAATGGGGAGTGGACAAATTTTAGCCACACAGGGAAGCATAACAACTCAGCAGCCTCTCCCATCTGCTTTAATACTGCCTAATGGACAAGTCATTCCTGTTGTTAGCCAACCATCAGTTGTCTATGCAAATCCAGCAATGAATAATAATGTAGTTTTGACTCAAACAGGTAAACAAAATATTCAAGTGTCTAATTCTCCGGTAACAAGTATCAAAAATCAGAATTCACCTTTACTTAATAATTCTATTAATAATAATATACTTTTTTCACCCTCAGGAACAACTAGAAATAATTTTAAAATGTCATCAGTTGCCTTAACACTATCTCAGAATGTGAATGCTCAACCATCCGTGTCATATACAATGAATAATGAAATCTCCCCACCGGCTGTTCAACAAAAGACGGCAAATATTGGAATTGACTCTTTAAGACCTCCTCAGAATGATTCATCTATTATATCTACTGAAGAAGAATTAATAAAATGTACTACCAGTCAGACATTTCAGAATACGTTGTCGACAGCACCTACCACAAAACCAAATTGTATTAACATGGAAACAAATTCAAAAAGATCAGGTAATTTGAATAGCAAAAATGGAAATTCCGTAAAAAACAGTAAATACAGCACATCTGGGAATAAACGAACAAATAGAATTTTAAAACCCAAACCTACATCATCACCTCAGTCATTAGGTTTACAACATACAAAAATGCAACAAACAGTAAGAGATGTTGAGACAAAAAAACAAGAAAATAGCATTTTAAATAAAACATCAGCTAATGAAAAGAGTAATTTAAACAATGCTAACAATGTTGCTTCATGTACAAATTTAAATATGCCAGCAAATAAAACATCTGACAGTGTCAAACTTAATATGAGTGAGGCTGTAACAACATTATCTACAAATAATAATATGAGTTCTGGTATAACAACAGATATTTTGGCAAAAGCCACAGAATCAATATTTTCTAATTGCATGTCAGAACTTTCTCCGTCAATTTCAAATTTTTCCTCAAATAAAGATGAATCATCACATAGCGATAACACTGTAAACTGCCCAGTGATGGAGAATGGCAAAACAAACAAAAGTAATCATGAAGCATTATTAAATAAATCGACAAATGAAGAAAAGCAAGATAAGAAAGCACATCTGTATCATCTGGAAAATTCTAACACTTGTAATTCAATTGCAGAATCTTGCATTTCTTCTCAACCTCAAGATTTACTAAGCACTCTTACTGCAACAGTTTTTGGTGATTCTTCAGTCGACACGGCATCTGATGAATTAGAATTCACGCAAGTAGATACATCTGCCTCTAAGCTAATGCCTACACTTTCTTCAAACATAATGGCAAAAAATTTGAAAGACGACAATGATGATAACCATGATTTGAATGTCGAAAAATTAAAAAATAGAAGTGATTGTAATAACAGTGATGCACCACCCCTGAAGAAAGCTAAAACAAATGAAGTGTCTAATGGAAATAAAGGAATGCCCATAACAACAGTTCAGTCTATCGAAAAAGAACAATCAAATTGTTTTGTATCAAACACATTATCTGAATGTAATGAAAATACTGCATCAACTTGTGAGACATCACATAATAGAATTAATTCTGCAAATAAATGTTATTTATCTGAGGAAAAACAATTCAAACAAACACAACCCACTTGTGTATCTAGTACTTCAAATACGTTATCTGTAAGTGAAGTAACTCCTAATGTATCACAGATACTGCTTACAGACTCATCTTCTCAAATTCATTTAAGAACAACACAGAAAAGTCCCCCAAAACAAAACTCATCCAATAATTTATCTACATTTGTTACAAATGGAGATAGTTCTGCATCTGATGCAGAGTTACCAACTTTAATTTTAGGCAGTTTAGGTGATGATAGTAATACTCCATCATCTGTAACTGGCAGTTCAAGTTCTGGTTTACCGTTTTTGACACTATCCCCGAGTGAACCATTTCCTTCTGATTTGCATAAAGATGCATCTCACAATAATGAAAATTCATTTAATTTATTAGAAAACTGTAGGCAGTCTAATATTGAACCCATAGTATCTGTAAAAAACAAAGATTTTATTCAAAACAAAAAGACTTCTCCATCATCAGAACAACAGAAAGAAAAATCTGTTAGAAATTCAACATATATGGAAACTAATAAGTCTACACATTCAAAACACAATTTGTCTTCTAACCAATTACAGGAGCAAGAAGCTAATATTTCTTCAACATTGTCACCTCCTCTTTTGATCAAATCAAATTGTAATAGATCTGTTTCTACACAACAAAGGATTGTTCAAGAAGAAAATATAAGTGGCCTTCAAAAGGATACACAATGCCCTTCATCTTCAGTTAATGTGAGAGCTATTTCAAGATCGAATGATGTGAACTGTCAGGTAACTTTAACTAATCATTTGTCACCAGTTACCAGTTTAAGTTTTATTGCACCAAGTCCTCCTCCTCTGTTATCAAGAAATATTTTACATGAAACTCGTACCTCAACTCCAGCTTCAAATTCTCCACATTTCTCACCGTTGTCATCTCAAGGTAATTTCAATGTTGTAAATAGTCAAACTCAACTTCTTGCCACCACAACACAATCTCAGAATTCAACACAAAACAGAATTTCTCCATTTAAGCAGACATCTGATAGAAATTCTTCAACACCAAAATCTGTAGGAACTTTTCTTAATTCTGAAAATCCCTCCAATATAATAACATCCACTTCAACTGTTACTTCTACCACAACTAGTAATTCTGTTAATTTTCAACCACAAACTACAAGTCATACATTATCCAGTTACTCAGCAGAAGCTTTGATTGGACAGCAATCAACAATGACTTCTACATCATCTGGAAATCCTATTGTTTCTCAAGCACATTATAGCAACACATTAATTAGTGGATGCTCACGTGTTACTAGACCACCCATTTCTTATTCAGCTGAAAGCCTAATTCAGACAAATTCTTGCATTGATAAAAAGCAAGAAACATTATCAAAAGAAACAATTTCTAATAACAACATGACATCAAACAATATGAATTCTTATAGACATCAGCCTCAACACTTGCAACATTCAGTTCAACAAACCACAATGTTGCAAGGAACTAACATAGGGCAGTCTATTGTTAGTAATGTTACTGAAAGAAGATTACCTTGTTCTAATTTATCAACATCCTCTGATATGATGCAGTCAAATTCATTGCAGTCAAACTTTCATTTGCAAGGAACATCGCCTTACCCAAATTTAACACATGGAATCACTACAGGTCCTCAGCAGAATTTAATGAATAACCATTTTGGTGGTAGTCCAATTTTAATGAGGCATGGAACATCTGCATGTCAACAATTAGATCAATGCCTACCTTGTAATCAACCATCACATAACAGTACCTCTATACCTCAAGCATATTCAAATATATCTTTGAATTTAGGAGGAAGCAAAAATTGCCACAACACAAATGCATTTCATCAGAACAGACCAAATGTTGAAACATCAATAACACAAACATTGTCCAGTTGTTTATCAAACGGGAATAATTTGAATCACATTGTAACTTCAAACAGTCAGCAACAGAATGGCTGTCTTTTCCCAAATCATGGTTCTTCTTCAATGCCAGCAGGACCATTATTGCAGATGCCTGAAACAAATTTTTCTCTGTTATCAAATACAACTTCATTTAATAATCAAGTTAGAAATGATAATAGGCCACCTGTTTTTAATAATTTCCCTCAACATACACCTCAAAATCCTCTAGTAAACAATATTTTCCATGGATCTTTTGTTACAAGTGTAAATACTCAAAGGAATGAAGTAACAAATGTTATGACTGCCCAGCAGTCAACACATCCAAATGAAGGAATAAAACAGGTGACTAGAGATCACAGAAGTAGCTCTCAGTCTCAAAGTCCTGCTCCTAATCAGTCTAAAATTTCACCAAAAACCAGTAAATCAAATGCAAAAAAGAACAAACAGAATTCAGTAAATGATGAAGTGATATCATCCACTCCATACGACAATATCAATGCAAGAATGAGTACTCATTTTTCTGTTCCAGATTTATCATTTCCAAGAAATGATGGTCCTTGTCTGGGAAATAATTATTTTAGCAACTCTCAAAGATCTCTTGTTCCTACAATATCAAATATTCAAACACAAAATAAAAACATTCCGTCAGTTGCAACCTCAGACACCAGTTTCACTGCAAACTCCGCATACAATCCAATATTTCGTCGTCAAGCTGACAACAGTCTCAATTTTAATTTTCAAGGTTCAAGTTTCAGCGTCAATTCGTTGCATAGACCCGCAACGTCTGGAACCGACAACGTATCTGCTGCCCAGATTAGTTGCCATACATCTACGGCTTCTGCTCATCCCATCCCAAATTTTAATTTGAGCAACATCTTTCCAGACATAAGTACATCTAGTGAAAGTATTAATTTGCCACCTATGAAGTTTCATCACAATAATCACATCATTACTCCACCAAATTCTAATCAGATTCAGGCATCGGAGGGAGCTTCGTTATCTCATGGTGCCACTCATCAAAATCGGGGACCTCCGCCTCTGTATCATAGTCGATCTCATCCACCCGTCATACATAACAGCGTGGGTTTTAACGGTATTCTAGGGCCGAACACACACAGTTTCGATGGTCACGGTGCTCAAATGGCCGTGGGCATCAACAATGCCATGGGTCATCCTCCTCCTCCTCCGCCTCCGCCACCACCTTTCGGGCCGACCCATGCGCACACACCCTCATTCGGAAACGTCCTACCCCCACTCAACTTTCCCATGCACGATCACTGATAACGGGGAATCAATATTTTGTAAGAGATTATGCATTGATTTAAAATGGCAGCTCCATTACAAATCGAGGAGAGGGATATTTGCGAGTTATAATTGTAGTTATAATTGCACATAGTTCTTTAGAGGAATGTCGCCGAAGAGAAGATGGTTTATTTGTATTTTTTATGAACTGTTGTTGTAAGCAATGGTTTATCCACAATATAAAATGGATATTTTTTTTCTACAAAAGAAAAAAATTCTTGGATCTCTTGTAGTAAAGATATCAAGAGATTATGTATAATAATGAATTTTTACAAGTAAGTAAATGTACAGGTCATTGTGATTATACTTAAGAGAGAATTGTTTATTTCTTCCAGAGAAAATATTTTATCCAGATATTTCACTTTTTGCTGTCAATGTCATTCATACATTTCATCAAGAAATATGTAGTTATTCACGTCAAATTGAATTTTGACTGTAAAGTTGAATAAAATGTCCTCATCAAGAATATTCTTAGTTATATATTCAATTAGTAAAAGTCGTCTTTTATTAATCAAATCAAAACAGCAAAGCGCTTTCGCCGAATTTCGAGTACTGGATTCGCGCCTTAAAATGCGTTATAAGCTCTATCAGCCTTAGAAATACCGAATATAATACGATTGACGTGAGATTCGATTTAATTGTTCCGATTTTCGAAATTATAATAGGATTTCGAAAGATTTTGTATAGAAAATGAATTAGTCTTGCGATGTTGATCAGATAGCGAAATTTAATTATAAATTCATTTGTTTTGATATTTAATTATGACGAATTTTAAGTCATTGCGTTGAAATATCGAAGTCCAAGAATGAATCAATATGGCATTAATAAAAATGGCGGCCTGATGACCGAGGGGATTAAGGTTTAAGGTGTTAGCTTACAGCTCTGGGGTATCTGACAGCCGGATGGCCGAGCGGTCAAGGTAGCAGCCTACCGTTCTGGGGGACCCGGGATCGAATTTGGACGTGTCAAGGAAGGAATCCCCAGGAATTTTTCGGGGGATGGTCCTTCAGATATGTCGGGCCCCGTCCCTCACCACCCGGTCGCCCCATTGTGGGCCGAACCGTACCCGTAATGGGCCTTCTATAAGAGGTCCTCTTAGTGCCCACAGGGCGGAAAGAGTGGAAAAAAAGCTCTGTGGTATCCGGTCGAAGGTAAGCCTTTTCAGGGTATGCTCATACGTTAATACAATGTTTTTTAGTACTTCCCGTAATTTACCAATGTAGAATTATTGTGATTTTAGTAATACACGTAAGAAGCGTTATGGTAGTACTAAGCAGTGGTGAATACAAGGGAAGGACTAGAGGCTTAAGAGAGCCTCTAGAGGCCTACCCATTAATTAACACAATGTATTTGAAGTTCAAAACACTGTTTTTAAAAACGTTTACGATGACAAATATGGTTTTATCTGATCATCCATAATACAATCGTGCGCGTTTTAATAAAAGGTACTGTACTTACTAATAATCCAAATATTTTTCATTTTTGAGTTAGCCCCATTGGGTACTTCTGGATACGTCACTGCCGCTCGAAAGTACATTTCATGGTATTCTTAAATGTTATTGTAGCTCTTGAAAACCATTGCATTAATTCTTTCCTAGTATTCTGGTCTCAATTGTATCCGTTATGGCAAAATGGTTCTAGTGGCATAGATGAGTAAAGACGTACTAACTCTTATTATTATTGAAAAATTACGAGAATCTACTGAATTTGAATTTAATATCCATCATTCCCATGGATACCACTTGATCATCAGGACAAGTAACAATCTTTGATGTACCGGTATGAAAATGTACAGACTGATGTTAATGGTTTTTGAATAGAGGGGAGTGTCTTATAATTCTTAGCGTCGCCATTACACTTACGTATAAACCTATTACTAAAAGTACGCAATCAAACTTCATTATCAATGTAACTACGTTGATAAAGTTGGGTGTCACTACTAGAAAAAAAGATTGAAAAAACCCTGCAAGTAGTAACAACGTTTTCCGTGTCATTAATAAGTAAACTAATGACAGTCCATTTTGTAAAGTTTGGCCATACGTTTAATTTTAATGCGAAATTTGACCTTTAATATCTCCAAGACCAATAAATCGATTTGGATGAAATTTAAAAAGTTAGTGTCCATGGTGAGTATTATGGACGTCTTAAATTTTTAATAAATTCGTTGGATTATTTTGGATTTACGATCATTTTGTCGCGATTTACAATGTGTGAGAGTGAAACACCACAATCCATGAGTTTGTACATGTTTAATGGCTTGTTCGATAGCTGCTCGCCGCCTATTTGTCCCTTTGAAGGTTTTTAAAAATATCGAACATTGATGATGATAAAGACATTTTTTAAAATTTCGGCATATTGGTCAATCAGATATCACATGCCACTGCAGGCTATGGCGTGACTCACATGAAAATACAATTATAACGCGATCTCACTGGACAGATAATTCTTACATGATTTTCCCGTCTAGCGATTACTTTTGATTTAAAACAAGCAAGCCTAGGCCCGGATTTACGAAAGTGACCGATGATGTCGGTAGGTAAACTTTCGTCAAAAAAATTCGGATGCCAACCTTAGGGCGTTTGCCCAGCTCTGCCCAAGAAAACAAAAAAAACCCGACAAACAGATTCCCACGTCTAACAATTTCGTTAAACGGTCGCAACTGTGTATTATAAAAAAATTTTCTTACAACCAACTAAAAACTAACTTATAACTATAGAGATGAAATGGAAAATTAAAATATACAAAAGAAAGGGGTACCCGTACTTGGTTGATTCCTTTTTTACGGAGATGATTACTTTCGATGATTCTCAGTGAAATTTCCTTGTTCGTCCTTTCGGGGAAGTTAACGTATCCTTTTATCGGGGATCGAAGGAGACTGTCTTCATCAACGATTAATTGAAGCCTCGGGATTCTTGTCGCACGAAGTCTTCAAGAAACTTTTATGTCCCTTGCTATGGTCAGGATCGACCTCTCCTCTCCTTCCCAGTCCGAAAACAGTTAACTCTCTCCTTTAGGCCCTTAGGCATTTTCTCTCTCCACGGGATAGTTCAGAACGTCAATCATCAATCAAGTGAAGTAGAACTGAGGACAAGAGAAGATTCCAGAATCGAAGACAGAAGCTACAAATTAGAATATTCTAACTTAAAATTATGGCGTACAGCCACATGAGCATCTACCTCGTGCGGATAAATACTGACATGTCTAAGAAAATATTCGAACAGCGTGTTCTTGCAATTACATCTATTGAACAAAGAAGTTCAGTTTATATTTTTGATTCTACCACACAATTACAGGATAATGCATTGTAATTAACCACAGGAATAACCCGAAAAAGACGCATTCTACGAAGAAATTCATTGAAAAAATGGAAGAAAAACGTTAAAACATCATTAGGAAACTATCGTTATTTGGTGGAACCATTCTTTTATTTCAAATAATACAAAAACTTATGCAAAAACATTATCAATGGTCACATAATTTTCGTGGAAATGTGAACGGGCAAAACTTTCTGGAGTTTGAGATGAACTACCAGTTTTGCTTGAAGATGTTTATCTTGATACAAGGCAAAGAATGTGGATTTAGTTAGATGGAGTTCAAATATTCCACAAATAAAAATCAAGCCCAGCAATATTGGTCCACGTTGTCCAATTACTTCCGTTAAACAGACATTATAGTTAAGGGGCAAAAGGGGCCCGTTATCGTCTTTGTGAGGCCTGGGCTGGGATGAAAAACATTCTTTTAACCATATATCCAAACAAAAATGAATCTTGATCTTTGCGATTAATTAAAATTAAGAAAACTAAATTATAAAGGGAAAGGAAATAAATAAAATTATTTTAATATTAAAACTACGCGGTTAAAAACGAAAAAAATAGTAAATTAAATCTTTATGAGACAAGACGAACAAAAAAGAAAATGTTAGTTAAGGTACTGTACATACAAGGTTCGTTCAACACCGAAGGAAAGACGGTGTCGAATTGTATTCGTAAACAATTGTCTTCTCGGGAACCGATCTGGTACAATTTCATCTGGTAACGGAGAAAGGGGATTAATAACCAATAATGTAAAGATTTGCGAACTACGAGATATTTAAACCCAGGCCACAAGGACGCTCCGTTCTTTTCCATGGCGTTCCTCGCTGGGGTGTTTCCGCAAGGTTTCATTTTTGTCCTTTACCGATGTATCCTCCGAAAGTTAGACCTTCGTTGAGAGAAATTTCGGAAATTCCGATCTGCATTCACCGGACATCGTTTCCTGTTCGAGAACTGGTCTTAGAATGCAACATCCGGTCAATGATAAGAAACCATCCTCGTTGCTGGACTTTCCTCTTCTTGTTTCCAAGACTACGCTCTGAAATCTACAAGGACTTCAATCCTTCGTGACAATAGTTCTTTTATTGTAAGTTAATTGTCTTATAAACAGGTTGTGTTGTTTGTAAACAAAGTATCGATCTCTGACTCAACCGCTCCAATCGTTACCGCTTCGGCATCCAGACGGCAAAAGAGATGATGACGATATATCTCTTATAATCGTTATTTCTTTTTGAAACTTCTTTCCCCCGGCAGCCTCGCACTTTTGCCATCTCACTCGTCTCCGTAAATATAAAAGGCGCACTTAATTTTGTTTATTATTGGTGTGTATAATTTGCAACGAGTCTGCTACTGTAAATGCAAAATGGGAATCGTGTATTATCGTTGTTGTGTGGGACAAGGCGATGCAACGCGAAGGCGATCTGCCAAGGGAAGTCTTTTATGAAAAATTGACCCTATTTAGGTGTTTCAAACGTAAACACCCGGAAAACTCCACGTGGCCAGCCCGATGGTGCTGCACGAACCCGCGACTATCGGGGTTCAATATTTTATCCTCTCGGCCACCGGGACAGTCCATCATTAAAAATTTCTGGGATGGTTTACCCGGACTCGACCTCCGGACCCCAAAGCGGTAGACCGACGCCTTAACTGTCTCGACCATCCAAATTAGGGTTTGGCTAGATTCACAATGGAGGCACCGGGTAGGACGAAGCATGTTGGGAAACCTCAGGTCTTAACGTAGACCAATGCTTCTCAAACTTTTTTGGATTACCGCCCTCTTCCGTTTTGTATACAGTAGGTTCCTCCTGTGTACACAGAACAGGGAGCGTTACTATAGTGTACACAATATAAATTTTATATTGTGCACACTAGTAACTTCTCAAAGTGGGCGATATCGCCCCTGGGGCCAAGCACTGAGGTAGACTTTCCAAAATGTCAGGCTGACAGCTTCCACCAACTTGTTATTAAGGTTAATCATATTCGTTTTGTAAACCGCGCTTAAGTTAAGCGTCATCTGTTCATTTTTTATGTCCGGTCATTGAAAGACCGCTCTGGATCGAGTGTCAGTTGTATATACAAAAAGTAAATTGTTTACAAACTGAGTGTTTGTCTATTGTCTGATAAATGTATATTTTTATTTCGTCAATTGTTCACGATAGCAGATGTCTTTTGTGTAAGATTCAAGTCGGATGTAAGCTAATAAATGTTCTTGTTAATCTTATCTTTTGATTTGTTCACGTTTACTAGAAATCGCCACACTTGTCCATCCAGTCATCAAACCGATGGAGTTTTTAAATTATTTATATTTTACAAATGTTTTCCCACGATATTATTTTGACAAAATTGGTATTCCGATATCTTTCTAGATATTCTAATTTTATAATTACATCGTAGGCCTATATAAATTTCTTTCCCAAAACGCGAAAAATCACGCGTTATTTTAAGTAAATAGCATTAATATTAACATTAATAAAAAAAAATTAATTCGTTTGACATGAATATTTAATTAATTTTGTTATCCATTCTCACATTTTCTCCATTGCAGCAATGTATTTTTTAATTATTGTCTTCATAAATTGTTTTTATAGTCGTTAAATCTCCATTTCCTCCAAGATTAATTATATAATTAATCTACAGTAATATTTTAAACTGATTTTAAGAATAAAAGTAATTATTGCATTATCTGTATGTTTAGCCGTTTTCGTTCTGTCAGCACTGACTTTTTTACATACCTATTATGGATTCGGCCATCAGAAAGAAAGGGAAATTGGAGCTATATCTCTGAGGCCCAGGCTTGTATAGGACCAGATCAGAAAATTATATTTATATCTGAAGTCTAGAATATAAATTTATGTAATTTCAGGAAAATAGAGCGTCACGCCAGAAGGTATAAAGAAGCCTGACAGGCCCTAGTCCCAGGGTTCGTGATCTCTCTCAGTAGCCTGGACCCCCAGGAGAGCAGTTAATGTTGAGAGGCTGGACCCGGTACATAAATTAAACCAGAATATATGATATTTTTGATATTTAATCACATAACGAATGAATTAATACTTAGTGTGAGCTTTATTATTAGCAAATCATCATAGCATCACTTAATATTCCTTTATATAAAATTAATTTACAGTATAATCTTTCAATTAGTTGAGTAAAATAAATTGTAAAATATAATATAGATGAATAATATGTTGTTCTATAATTTATAAAAAAAAAACAAAATTTAAGTCAAATAAAATTTTATTAAAATAATTTAAATTTGTTACTTTTAATCTATATTTTTATATTAAAATAGACTTGTTTTCCGACGTTACACGATATTAAAATAATTCTAAATTAAATCTACAGAAGGATTTATGTTATTTGTGAATAATAGTAAATTCTATTATATATATATACAGTATATAAATATCTATCTTATTGTGTTATCACTTAAATTTGAACCTTTTCTGCCCTACAGACATTAAGATTTCCATCCCTATTATAAATTCGTCAGGCCCACAATGGAAACGTTGGGTGGTAAGGAATGCGACCGACATATCCTCATCAACTCAGGCTTTAATTTAGACCTTCGTGGGCCCTAAGCAAAATAATATTTACGGGCCCCTTTACAAATTTTGTATTACTACAAATATAAATAAAATTGTGATATTTAAAATTAAAGTATTTTTATTTTTACATTTGAATATCTTACTTACATTGTAATTTTGGTGCTACAATAAAATTATGAAGCAATAAACATTATATTTTTCTCAACAAACACTGCTTTATTCTGAACTTCACCGAACAGATCTAATTCGCATATATAAACATTATCTAATTCTCAGTGATGTTGTNTAGTAGGACTTCTAAACTGTTATTGACAAAAGGAAAGAAACTCTTATTTAAATAGGAAATAATGTGAATAGTATGGTGAAAGAAATATAAATCTATACACAACAAACAAGAACGAAAAACTTTCTATAAGCATAAATTCGAATTAATTTATTCGAGAGAAGTTATAATAAATATTGAAGAATTCATGACGCTACTGAGACAATTTTTACTCTGTTTTTTTAGAGAAAAGGTTCCTCTATAGATTGAGATAAATGGTATCTCCATAGAAGAGTCTTTTCTTTCTTTTATCAATAGAAGTTTATAACTTTTTTATTCAAGTTTTAGATAGGAAATAATCTGAACAGTTCATCGGAGACAAAATCATGATACACATGTCCATGTCTAGTAAGTGGCAAATCTTTATCCATTCGAAATTTTTGTTCGAATCAAGATATATAAATTGTGTCATTTATTCGTCCAGAAAGGCTTTTAAAATGCTTTAAAAAGGATTCCGAATACAAAATGGAGGTATTGTCGTTTTAAACGAAAAATTATTCTTCTATTAGCTAAAAAATTTAATTCTTTTTAGGTAATTTCTCGATAAGCTAGCCGAGTTAACTCTTTGAGAAAAAAAAAGATTTATTAAGGGAGAAAATTCTTCGTACGATCAAAAAATCACCATCAGAATTTGCTAGCAACATCTATTAGAGATATATCCGACGAGGGAAGCGTTCTAGTATAAGCAAGATAAACCCGAGCTATTTTTATTTGAAGGATAGGAACGTCAATGCTAAAGTGGAAATCAATCGACCAGAAATTCACCAAAGCGAAAATTCACTTGTCACTCAGTGTGCCTTCCTTAATAAACAGCAATTCATAAAATATATACAGTGACAAGATTTCAGGAAGGAGGTGGGCAACTTCAAATGTTCCCACGGTTATCGAGGTAATGGCTTGTTTTGTTGGGAATAAGTTTTATAATTCGGATGTTGATTTTTTTCTTTGATTTAATAATACAAATCAATTGGTTGCTGTATATTAAAACGCGTGTATGGAAGAATTCGATTAAACCATTTATCCCGACATTAACGCGCGCGAATCAAACATTTCGCTTCATTTAGCAATTTTATTGTTTGTCTCTCCTCTACGAAGGAATCTGGAATTAACGACGTCGAAAATCGACCGCCATTTTTTCCTTTTCGGTCACCAGAACATTATCGACTTTGCTGTCATCCGGAGGATTCCCTCTCGAATCCGAAACGAATCGATTTGCAGAACCATCGGTTCAGTGGTCGGAGTCAATGGTTTAGATGGAGAACGGTTGACACGATTGATAAAACACTCCGCTGCTGAAAAAAACCATCAGTCTAGCCGGATAGAGAAGTATTTAACGAGCCGAAACGTCCTCCTACAGCGTGCATCGACGCGAATCGTAATTCTACAATGGGTAATTGGCAGTATAAAACAGGAAGACGTCGAGGACAATAACACGAAATTTATTTAAGAAAATCGACAAACATCGACAGAATCTCTGAATGTGTTGGACACGTTTTCGAATCAATTGGTTGTGATTGGAGAGGAACAAATCCGAGATGAGCGAAAGAGGAACTTGGCAATCACAGCCAACCATTCCGTATCTGGTCTAACCTGCGAGGTTATGAAAAAGTAGGATGATCTTCTATAGGAACCGTTTAGTAGAGATCTCTCACGTCGGACGAGGCGTAGGGAGAGAAAGGCGAGTGACACTTCTTATCACCCATGGAAGGTACGCTCTTCCCTTGCGATTCGTTCAACGATGGAATCGAGTTCTTCTTTGGTCGCCCTTTCGGTTTTGTAGGAGGAACCGTGCATCCGCCTTGCATTACCTGCTTGAATAAATGCATAAATCATACACATTTTACCATATAAATTCTTACATTTATAAATTTTCAAATACGGACGGTATTTTTTTTTTCAATAAACTACGCTAAACGATTAAATATCGAGCCAAATTATTTGGCTCGATATTTATTTCAGTCAAATGTTTAATTAAAGCCGATTAAATATTTCTCGAAAAAGATCATATAAAATAGTAATTTTAACCACATCTTATTAATAAAAAAGTAAATTTTTAGAGTAATTTACTATAAAAATCAAAGATAATTCTAATTCTTCCATCAAAATTCCAAGTGTTTTTTTATGGATGAGATCTTGCTTAAAGGAAACACTCGATTGAAAATTGAATTTTCTCAGGAGAATAAGTTCCATTAAGAACTTTACACAAATAATCGACTTCTTTAAAAGCATCATATTACACCCTTTAAACAATCAAAAAATACGCATCTGCACTTTATTTAGAAAAAGATGCCATCCCAAAACATGATTAAGTATAGATTAACAGTCTTTTGACTTTCTTTTAAGAAAAAAAATACATCAAATGAAGATTCTTTAATAATAATAATAAAAAAAAAGATTTAATTTGACATTACTTAATGAATTTCTAAGTATTACAGCCTTTTCGTTCCATTAACTTTATTTTTTATTTTTTCAAAAAATTAAATAAACTTTGAGTAGAAATGTTATCTGTAGGCCTATATATATTCTAAATTGACACTTCTACTATTTTAATATGTTATCTTTTTTATTTCAAATATCAAATTCAAATTATTTGCTTCGAGTATTCGTTTAGAATTAGCATTTTATATATAGTGGGTGGCATAAAAATCAGTTAAGAGGGGAAGGATAGCATCTCTTTCTTCTCTAACATCAAGATGCTATATAATTACATAGAATTACATAGAATTAAATGTTTTAGTAAGGAAATTATTATTCAAATAATTCACATTTTAGAAAAAAAAAAATATAAAAAATGTAATTGCTTTTAGAACAATTTATCTGGTAAAATACTTCTATACAACTCTGCATATATTTTATGTTGTAGATTGAAAATGTTCGGTTGAATTTATAATTATGGGAATTATAAATTGTTACTTTTTTATATAAATATATTATTTAAATATTAGGTACAGAAAGAAATAAGTTGCGGTTCGTTTAAGATGTTTTTCAAATGTCTACGGTCGAGTAAGTTCTATCATTTTTCCCATCACATTAGTATAGATTCTCACGAAAGACGAGAAAAATTGATGGTAGAGTTCACTAGGCTGTTGAAAATTACTAAATTAGCTTCTTGTTTGTAACATTTGAACCTAAAAAATTCATTGAACAATATAATTAATACAAATGATTGATTTCGTAGATGTCGAGGAGCAAAGTTTTATCGTATCGATTTAAATTTATTTAGTAGAGTATATAGAAGAGAAGGAAAATAATAAATTTCCAATTGCTGAATAAACAAATATAGAATATAAAATGTCACATTAACACAGACAAAAATAAAATTTTCTGTTTAAAAATAGAGTTTTACTTTAGCAAAATCAGAATTAATGCATTATTGTTTTGTCAGAATGAACAGTACACGATTATGTCAATTCGACGTCATTTCATACTTTCCCATTACAAAAAAATGGTATAGGAATAGGCCAAATAGATGCAACTATTAAGGCAAAATAAATGTATTTATTTCGGGTATTTTCGTAAATAAAACACCCCCAAAAAGTATGTTAATGGGCTCATTCTTAGATGCTAGGCCATACTTAAGAAGGCACAAATTTTCATATTCATCAACTGTTATATTTTAATGGTATTTTGTTTTTGCTCTATCAGGATCCTCAAAAAAAGTAGTGGACCACGCGAACCTCCTTGACAACGAAAGATCCCGACTTGCAACCACATTGATTGGAGTTGATGAGTTGAAGAATCCGGAGAATGGAAGTTGAAGATGAAGGCGAAAAACACAAGAATGGTATCAAGGTATTGAAGGCGATGAAGAAACTGACGAATATTATGATTTTTTTTATGACGAAAGATATAATTTTTATTAAAAATATGTCCTAAAGATAAAATTCTGTAAAAAGTGAGTCAAGATATATATAATACATTACTTAAATGATAGAAAATAAAATAAACTTTCGGAATAGGCGAAAACTTCAATTAAAATATTAAAAAGGGAATCGTATATTTTCTTTCAAATAAGTAGATATTATAGGTATTATCATGAGACCTTTTGACCTTTAATTAACCCTGCCTTTGAAGATCAGGATTAAAGACCATATAGAAAGTGACAAAATAAAAAATGGCGTGAACATTTCATTAGAATGAAGTTTACGGACGATGCAACGGATGACGACTCTTTCAGTAAGAGCCGTTAGCTGTTAACTTCTATTGAAAAAATTCAGAAAATTCAAAATGATTCTTACTTCTGATACCAGCGCTAAATTTTGCGTCAAATTTAATTTCGGAATAGATGCGATTATCATGATATAATGACGTTTACATATTTCCTGCATTATTATCCAGTTAAAAATACACGTGTAATATTTTATTTGGAAGCAAATAAAATAGCTAAGTTTTCTTCGGTTAGAATCACTTTGATACTTGAATTCAAGTAACATTGGTATAAATGATTCTTTTCCTTGCAAAAATAGTTCAAAATACCAATATGCAATTGATTTTAAGAAGTTAAATTAGAATAAGTACAGTGAACAATCCTTAAATGTCTACCACTAGAACAAATACTTGTAAATAAATAAATAAAATAATAAAATAAAATTAGTTTCTTCTTATTATTTTTATCTATTACAATAAGAATAATTAATGAATTTATTAAATATAATAATATAACTAAAATTATATAACTTTAATTAATATAAAACCGTAATAATGAAATAGTTTTATTTTCATAAGCTTATATTTTATTTAAAACTTTGATTCCTTTAACGTTTAAATTATGCATTATTTTACGGTAAAACCTGTGAAATCTGGAATTGACACTGTAAACTTTCCGGCTTAAGCGAGTTTTCATCTTAGACAGGCTTGAACGTGAAAACGGTCATTACTTTAAAATGAGAGCTTAATATAAGTTTCAATCTAGACTTAACTTCGCTACATTCAATGTAATGACTTATAAATGGCACAATGTATAAAATGTTCATTCGTATTATTTTTACTCTTTCCGCTCTTGGCTATTAAGAGGGCCTTTTTTCTAGGATATATCATGGGTTCGGCATGACCGACTTATGCTGCCGGGTGGTGAGAAATAGATTTCGACGTATTCGGGACAGACCATCCCGAAAAATTTCCGGAGTTTTTTAACCCGTCAGAAATCAATCTCTCCTCAAGAGCCGTAGGATGATGACTTAATTAACCACTTCAATCTGTACTCATATAATATATATATATATATACAGTACTCATATAAGAAAGCGCGTAGTAATTAGGCTACTCTGTAGAAGTGTTTTCGCCTGTCAGTCAGTTTAATTGGAATGATTTCTGCTGTAGCTTTTTCGTGACCTTTCTTCTACGTATTTTATCAATTTTAACAGAAACAACTCGTCCAGTCATATAGCATCTCGGTCAAAGAAATTAATAGGTTGTATATAATACTGTTTGCTAACGGATAAACAAAACGTTTCTCCAGAAACAGTGTAAACCGGAGATGATGAAATATAAAGCTATATTTTATGTCATGATTATATACTGTTAGCCTCACGAAAATACACCTTAGCTACCTGTAAACTAGGTTACTGTAATGAAAAATAAAGTATTCTTTACGGCCTCTCCCAGTGCGGATCTGCGAGGGCGATTATTACGGCTCTGGTGTCAAATGCTTCGCAATCTTCCCGTTATTTTAAAACGAAAATGTAGTTATGCCACGGGAAAACGAATGTATATAATACAGCATAAATGCGGACTTCAAGTTGAAAATTTTTCTATCAAACTGTATTAATTAACTAATGCGAATTAATAATAGTGGTATAACATATAAGTTTCTAGCTTTCCGTTCACGTTTTATATATTCTGTCAAGACATTTTGTGAGAAAAATTTGACGATAATTTCCAAATAATAGCAATTTTCCGGTTTTTCACTAGTTACCCTTTTAATCAAGTTCCATCTCTAGAGGATTTAACTATATAAAACGATTAAAGAAATAACGTTATGAATTAAAGCTTGGTGCTGTTAAGAAAACAGCTTTGCATTTATTATAAACTTTTAAATAAACTATAAAAATTTGAAACTTTCTAATAAAAGGAAGTTAAATTTAAAATGTATTCAAATAATTTAATAATTAATAAGATCAAAACAGTTAAGAGCATCCTATTATATCACGTCTTCTTAAAAGAGGACCATAAAGTCATTTGGATCTGGCCTCAAATTTGCAAAGGCCTTAAGAACATTTATTACAAATTATTCATTTCATTGCATTCATTGTATTAAGAAACAGCTTTACCCATCTCGACATCTGAAATGACCTATCAGTGTTGCTATTCAATCTAATGTTACGATTCCAGTTTACAAATATTTTAATTATAAATTAAATTGGTAACCTAATTATATAGTTAGAATTTCGGCCTATTAGATATGGAGAAATATCTGAAAGGCCTCGATTACTGTAGCTCTTCCTATTCAATCTAATTACATTGCAATTTTCTAATTTCCTTCCTTTCTTCTTCTAAAAAAAAACATTTTCACTAATGTTATACGCATTAAATTTTTCATATAAATTTAAAACATTTCACGTTATAACATTTTAAAATTTGCTATCAGTAAAGATAAGATTTTGCCTACCATGTTCTCTTTTTTTCCCCTAGATTTTAAAGATTTGGCACGATAACTTTTATCTCGGTAATTTTCGTCACATATTTTAAAGAAATTTATATTATTATTCAACTTTATTCCACGCCAAGAAAGACATTTTTTTTATGGTAAAATTCATACAAATATAGATGTAAAATCAATCAAGTTATTGAATATGCAATACATAGTTCATTACCATTTTCAAAATGGCATCCGGCACCAATTTCGCGTTACGTTTTCTAATCGATTTCGGACTGAAGTTTAGATTTGCTTTTTGTTCTTTTTTTTTTTTGATTAAACACAAATTAAAGATTTTGATGACGGATTTAAATAACGTTAAATCGGTATTATAATCAATCAAAATGGATAATTATCATTAGTATTATTAATAATCGGAATCAATCGAGTCGTTCGTATCGACCATATATCCATTAGATTCTTGATTAATGATGCTAAACAATCATTTAAAAAACTTAAAATTCATCGAATGAAATGAGACTTAATGGAAGCATTGATGCATTTATTATAGTCTAAGTTTTCGTTAAAAGAATAGATAGAAAACTTCATGAGCTTCAAATAATGGTAAGTTTTATGGTATTAAATCGAATATAGTACAATTCATGTTTTCATTTAATGGATTTATCATTTAATAATTACATAACTACCAATTTAAGTTTGATCTACAAGCCGAATTATGATTCAATTCATACATCAATGGTAATTAATTTATTCTCTCCAGAGATCCAAAGATGCGGTCTTGAAGTGCCACACGGAAAATTTTAAAAATTGATTTTTTACTGAATAAAATACAATTTAGGGATGGTAGGAAGGTATAAACAAGAGTAAGAATTCCTGGATTACATATCATGAAGTAATTTCAAAAAGCAGTAAATATTAGGATAGTTACTATGCGCGCTCAATGCTGCTGAATTGATATTTAATTAAGCCACGATTAATTAACCGAAAATAGATTAAATTTCTAAATTAATTATAGATTTTTGGATAAGTGAACGGCACCTAATTCATTATTTTTTTAGTTTTTTGACAATGTCTGTATGTGTTATCTAAGAATTTAAAAAAAATTCATCAAAAATTAACGATTAATTTACATTTTTATATTTTGGGAGGACTAAAATTAAATATAATTTAAAAGCACTGTGTTGTAACTAAAGAAATTAGCATAGACTTAATTATAATTGATTAATTAACACAAAGTTTACTCGCTCTTTATTGGATTTTTTTCAATGATAACGATGCTAAATCGTTCATCGTGCTTAATGAAAATTTAAAAAAAATGAATGCAATTCAATGAATAAAATGAACATTAAAAATTGCGTCACAAGGACAGGGTGCAGGCTTACAGATCTGCAAATTGGAAATATTACACGAGTCTAAATTAGACCTGGGAAATAATTCAACTTGGTTATTTCTTCCCAACCCATTCCGTTCTTTTTCACTTAAAGACAGATTTGAAACTATTATAGTAAATACAAATTTAAGGAAATTCAGTTCAACATTCCACAAACGAAGTAAAAATTCTAACGATGAATTAAACTCACCTGTTTCTTCCATTTCATTCTACGATTCTGATACCAAGTCTTGACTTGAAGTTGAGTCAGGCCTAGAGCTCGGGCCAATTCGGCTCTGTCGGGTGTCGAAAGATATTTTTGACAATCAAATCTTCGTTCCAATCCCATTAATTGCAATTCAGTGAAAACGGTACGATTCCTTCGCACCTTTCTTGTAGCCGAGTTCAATTTTTCAGTTTTCTGTTGGTTCTCTTGAGGTTCGGGTATAGAAGAAGTTTGAGGAACGAAAGCTTGAACTGTTGTAGGATTCCAAGTGACGCCAACTTGAGGAAGGACTTGAGGAGGAGATGCGCTAGTTGCGGATAATAGAGGATAAGATAGTTCGGGAAGTGCTGAAATGTTCAAAAAAGATATGTTTATGTATTAAAAAAGTCGATAAAATAATACTCGATAGGAAAAATCTTAACGAAAATAAAAGTATCATCGGTGTTTTCTGGAGGCGAAAAAATATTGAGAATATGATCTTTAAAATGCAGCAACATCAAATTGATTGAAAAGAATCGTTTACATGTTGTTGTCCATTAGAAAAGCAAATATGTGATGACGATCGATGTTCTTTTCCATGCAAATGGCCGCGCTCGTCACGTAAACTGAAAAAGATAAAACATCCTTCGCCGCATAATTAGGTAATAACTTACTTGCACGATATCATACCGAAAAAATCGAACTGGATTTATAATTCGAGAGATTTTTATTTTACTTTGTCACAAATCCTTATTTAAAAGATGCACACTTTCTAGTTTCAAATTACGGTACTCCACGTTATCCTTGAATCTTTAAATTACTGTAATCTCAAGAAAGTTAACGCCATTTTAATTCAAAAACTATATCTAAACTTTTATAAGCAAAAGATAATAAAACTCAATAGTTTCATATATATATTTATGCTTAAGTGACTATAACAATTAGATCTTTGAGTATATAAAATATGCCTAAACATTAGTTCCAGACAGAAATGCCAGCACTACCATTTAGCCTTGCTTTGAGCATTGTGGGGGTCCCAAAATTGTCTTTTGCATAAAGATATAAAAATAAAACAAAAGTTTGTTTTGATAAATAAAAAATAAAAGCAGATTTTATTTTATATATACATTTTTACGGCTTTCCTAGTGGAGAAAGTATATATCCGAACGGGTCGAAAAATCCCCAGGAATTTTTCGGGGGTGCTCCTTCACAGATATGTCAGCCGCTCCGTGTGGGCCTGACCGAATCCATATGGGAATGAAAAAGGGCCCTCATTAGTGCTCACAAAGTGGAAAGAGTGAAAAAAGCCATATCTTACACTTGCCAGCCTTCGCTAAACATTATTCGACTATGTACTGTATTGTGTAATGTTTTATCTCCAGAGAGATCTGTAGATTGATGAGCGTAAAGTGTAGGCTCATCAAGCAAGAAAGGTGCGAACATAATTCATAGTTTCTTACGATTTTATTTATTATATAAGCTCAATGACAGACGTTACGGTAACAAGCGAACACTAAATTATAATCTCCATTAAAAATTGATAAACAGTTATCCTGTCCGAAACGGAATTCGAACTCGCATTATGACGAATCGTCTTCACAAAACGCTGACATATTGGCTAAATTTAAAAAACAAAAAAAATTATCCAGCTTAATTCATTATATCAAATGAAACTATTTCAAAAAAATACGAAGAATTTAATTATTTTTTTACTAGCGTTTCTGAGGCTCCAGCGCATTTTAAATTGCATTTGTATATACAGTATACTATTGCATCATGCGTAGGTATTATAGAGTTTTGATAACAAAAAACATTACTATAATGAAATCCTGATATCATTTTCATTAAATTATTAAACTAACGTTGCTCTTTCACTAAAAATTCAAGATAAATAAATAAAATTTACGATTTCAAAAGGAAAGGAACGGCCTATCAACCGTGATGTCCACCATTGTTTTGATTGGCCTATTGAGAATAGGCCACAAAAATGTCAATGGAAGTGGATAAGAAATAGGGAAAGAAGTGTTGCTATTATGAAAAAATGACAAAAATTTAAATCTGATTCGAACCCGGATCCTCACGTCCGTAAAGAGAATCCTTATGGCATTACATCGGGCGAAAATTTATTCTGTAAAATATTTTTTCGCTAAGATTTTATCAAAAAACGAGTACTTTAGATACATTTTAAATAAAATCAACTTATATAAGCTAAAGATATCTCTTATAAAGTTAATTTTATTTAATATTCTACTGCTTTATTTAATCTTTACCAAAAAGAAAACTTCATAGAAAACAATTCGGTTAGTACCTACAGATTTTCATTGCCATAATTTAAACATCAAACACGTGTATGCAAAAATACTAAAACATAAAACACGTGTATCAAACACATTGTCATTATTCGTTTTATCGTGTTGCCAATTAAAATAATTTTCGTTTCCTCTTAAATATTTATTTTTTTTTAAACTAATTATTTTCGTTAATGATAAAAGGAAAACGATTCTTAAATTCAAAGAAGAAAAAAAGAAAAAAAAAAACTCATCAAAATCCAATAAAAAGATCAAAGCGAAAATTAGCAAATGAGAACGTTGATGACATAGATAATTAATTACCCTTATCTTTGTTAATTCCTGATTACTCCGATAGGTGGAGATACTCATTAAGTAACAAAAGTGGAAGATAAACATTTTTTTTTTTTTTTTTTTTTTTAAGACGAAAATTGATAATTGGCGTAAATTATCAAAGCTTAAAGTAATTTGTTAATTATCGCTAATTAATAACCTTTACTTCACGGGTAAACGCGCGTTAAGATATCACGAAAATCGACACGGATGGAAGAGGGCATACAGTGGCGATCACCTTGGAAGATAAGCGGTTTCGGGATGACAACTCGTATGTCTTTGTCACTAGAAATGTCACAAAAAGAATTTCTCTGGGTCATCTACTCTAACGATAAAAATTTTACCATAATATCTATAGAAAATGATGATTATTTGGATATTTTATTCGCACAGTTCCCCGTCAGTCATTCCCATACCAATTTTGGTATTCAAATTTTATCCAATTTCGTGTGGTGCCAATCAAATTCTCCTCCGAAATTTCACAAGAATCTATTTTATAAATATATAAATTTATTTAAATTTTTTAAAAATAATATTTTTATCACAAATTTCTTATTTATATGCAATGAAATAGTATGAAACTGACTATAATTTGAATGCCAAAAGCCAGCGTCGGAATGGCAGATGGCGAACAAAATTATTATCAATTTTATGTCTTTGTTACTCGATTTTATTCATATTTTTTTAAGCTTTAGGTTTATATTAGATAATTATATATAAAGTAAAATTAAAACTGTTAAATACAAGAAACGAATTAATCCTTCTCATAACTTAAGAAGCGTAGGCCGCCGCCATTTATTGTTTAATGTAGTATTTTTATCAAATAAATGACATATTAAATTTATAATTTTTCGTATTAATATAAAGCTTTCTGGTTTCTCTTTAAACTATGTATATATTTCTTCCGTATTGTGAAACATATATATATTATTTTATGTATTTCACGTTACAATTTGATTCGGAAGAGATTTTTTATACGAAATTTGCCGTGTACTTTTTCACTTACAGAATCTTACTCAAATATAAATTGATAGATTTTATGAAAAATTCATCATGCAACATGGAAAACGATTTTACAAAATATGCAAATAATTCATGTATTTTACATAAATAATGCAGCTTATTCTAATCGCAGCGTGCACGCTGCGATCAGAATGAACTACAAAAGGATACACGATTATAGTTAAATTTAAAAAATAAATGTTTTTAATATAGTAAAAGACAAGATCCTTGATCAAGATGAAATAAATATAAGATTCGTTTGGAAAATGCATAAACTTTTCCGACTATGTTTTCATTTTCTTAAAAAATACAATATATTCAAAAGTTAAACAAGGTAATATACTGTATAACACGTATATATATAAATTTAACGGCCTATATTACTTTATATATATAAACTTGCGAAGGATTATGTAGACTGTACAGCCTACACAGGTAATTAGAAAATCTATGGCCTACAGCATGAGTTTCGGTTGCATTCAGTTTATATTTCGTTACAGAAATGTTTATCTTATGCCATTTTTTTCTTATCCTAAAAAGTATGTATTGTCTATTTCTAAACACGTAGGCCTATATTTTAGCCTTCATTTTTAATGCGTTAATTTTATATATAAATTTCCTTACATTACAATTAGCCTATATATATATATTCTCTTGAAAATAAAATTATTATAAAATAAACAAATATCTTCAATATTACAAAGCATTTAATTAAGAAATTAAGCTTTCTTGGCTTATTTTTATGTAATTTTTAGAAAGTAAACTTGGGTTGATTTATAAAATCAAATGAAAACTTTTGTTTCCTAATTAAATGTTTAATGGAATCGTAAACGTGTTTATTTTTTTCATTATAATAACAGTAGTAGTAATTTGAATTAGGAAGTAATAAAAATTATGAGTTTTGAAAACGGTAGTGAAAGGATAAATTGTCTATATAAATCTATATTGTGAATTCTGCGTGAAGTACAGTACATTGCTTTCTTATTCTATGTTTACTTGTAAACTTACTAACGAAAAAATTCCCAGTTGTTCCACATAGGCTAATCCATGTGGGACAACTGTATGTTACATTAACGCCAAAAACGTTTAAGAGTATATAAGACTTACTTATAAAATTGTTAGTTCGGAATTTTAGTTACCTTCCACTCAAAATTACAATAATTTACTAATTTTCAACATATTTCCGTATAAACTTACCCAAAATATTCCTTATACGACTCGGAATTAGTCCTTTTTTATAATACAAGAGTAGGCCTACATAAATGACCACATCTTTATTAACTAGTTCGAATAGTACTTGATAGTAATGAATTTTCTAGGATGGGAAAAGAATAGAAAATTATTAATTTAGTGGAAGAAATGTATTTCCTTCAGGTAAACTGACTTTCGACATTGATACAAAGATTATAAGCGTACAAATCGGAGGAGGAGGATGTTCTTCCATCCCCTTCTCTCCCCAGTAGAATAGTAACGATTGCAGAAAAACAGGAATCAATTGTTCAGAAACCGATCTTCGATGTAATGATCTATGAAAATGTTCCCCGACGTCGTTGCCACTCACACTCTCTCCTACTTCCATTCTTTTTCAATTTAGGACTTTCTCGTTTCTAACACCGTAATTACGATAAAATTACAAACGTCTTTCAGAAATTCTTAAATCCTTTTTCGTTTCTACTGTATCGATGACTATATTCGAATATATTATCTTTAAAATTGTATATTCGGCTACGAGAACCATTTTATTTAGCTCTTAACGTCAATTCTCTAACGTTATTCGATATTTAAGATGCCTATTAAGAAACGAGCAATTATCAAAATGTCACATCGTCACAATTCCTGGCTGCAATTTTTAATTTTTAAATTAAATAAATTTAAAACGTAGGCTTTGACTTTAGTAGTTATCTTGCCCCTGTACATCATACTTTCCCTTTAAGAATAGAGTCATGCCGGTCATCCACCTCTGGGAGAAAAATTTTCAATTGAAATAACATAATTTCTGTTACACACCTGAAGTTCGTATATAGTTAATCGGGTCCTTCTGCCCTTAAGGTTTCCATATCTGGTCTTGTCTTTCATCTATTCAACTCCGTTCTCGAAATTAATGAAAGACGGGCGATAGTGGGAATTTATAGGTCTTGTAGTCCATTATGATTTGATTTTTTAAAATTAATTTATGTATTTATCAATTTGTTTAACAGAAATGTTAGATTTGCTGTTTCTGGAGGTTCATAATCGCCGAATAAATTTTATTTTCGTCGTGTTTGGTATTAGGTGTATTGAACTCTCTGTATTTTCTAGTTCTATAAATAATTTAATTATATAAATTTCTGAAATATGTAATAATATTTAAGACGAATTATCGTTAAATATTAGTTTATTTTCAAGATTAAAAAAATAAATGTTTCTTTGAAATGTTCTTAAAAGGAAGAGAAGAATAACTCTTATATTCTAGCTTATATGTAATTCACAAAATATATTTCCCATTTAAAAGTTTTAAGAGATAAATTTTGAAGTTTCAATTTACAAATTTACTAGATTTGCATCTAGCCAGGCCTCTTACTTATTCAATTTATATTCTGAAATTGGTCTTATAAACTAGAATAAAATAATTTTTATCCTTTTTAGTTGAGGAAAAAAGTTATATTTTTTCTATTAAAATGAAAATTCAGTTTATATTTTTAAAACATATTTTGAAACTAAACATAATTCTTGTTACATCATCACTTTAGAGTGTATTGCATCGTACTAGCGCTGAAATTTACGCTGAATTACTACAGCAAGACAAAATTAAACCTGTAGGTCTAATGAAGTCTTAGTAAATGAATTTATACTCTAGGAAAACACTGTATATTACGCATAAATGCAGGCCTTCTCTCTGGGATGTCAATAAGACTATTTGGCGCGGGTTTCACATTTATAGTAGACTCAAAAAAAATTTTTTTCTATAAATCACTCATTCCGTTGGATTTTTTTTTGTGTATTAAGAAAAAACATCTTTATTTTTGCCAAATTTTATTATTTAAATTACACTCTAAAAAATATAATTAAAGATATTTTAAATTTATTAGAGAGCATCAAAAAGATAAGTGGCTCAGGCCTCTGTTGAAAGGCTTTGAATATGAATGCTTTTCTAATGGAAATCAAATTCGTGTATTCAGTTAGATGTGAAAATTAAAGTAGGAAGATTAGAATTTAGGAAGAAATATGATATGATATAATTTTAGAAATTTTAACCATGACAACACCTTAATTAAACCCTTAATTTCTCTATAAATTCATTATTTTGAACATTTCCTATAAATGGAATGAGATATTTGGTTTGTCTCTTTTAATATTTCGCGATATTAATTAATCCTATATAAAATTCAGTATTAGAAATTCTGTCTTAATGAATCTAAACTGAAAAATTCGGATGTAATGTTACCTCGTCGACCTATTAATTTAAAAACTATCTTCACCAAATTTCAGTTTTCCATCTTTGGTAACATTTTAGTTACTAAAACCTAAAGGCCTTTAAGAATTAATGGAGTTTTAATGAAAAGAATTAATGAAGATATTTTCTATGTATTTAAAACATAATTTTATGACGTTATTCTAAAGGCAGTTGCTTTGCAAATTTGTGTATTGCGAATCTATCAAGATGGCATGAGCGAAACACTGCTTCCGTGTTTATGTAGTTTTAATACTCGAAGAGTTATTATAAATCCAGGAGATGACCTTCTAGTAAATCTAATTTACTTTATGAGTTTCTTTTACTCTTTAATTCCTATATTAAACTTACATAAAGTAAAGCTTTAGTCTTTCCGCGATCGTCTTAAACCATTCGACACGCGCAATCTTACACCTGTTTCGGATGCAAATGATCCCATATATATAGCCTATGAATTATTTTAATTTAACTTAATGTTTCGTTTGTTGTTGAAATTGCGTTGCTACGGAATAAAAGAGACACTTTCGTTTACGGGACGAAATTAAAAGCGGTATGTATATTATTGAAGGATTGCTCGGTACAGTTTGCAAGTTTCAAATAACTTAGGCCTAAGTGTATAAAATGTAAACAAAAGAAAGTAGAGAGAGTTAGAGGCTAGAAAAGTTGCCTTACCTGTATGCCAGGTGGGCGAGCAGTTGAGGCAACAGAGAGGTAGAGCGTTGGCGCAAACACTCTTCTCCAGAGGATTTCTGGAAGCGAAGAGAAATGCTTGTTCGCAAGGCCTGGAATCCCATAGATTAGTAGAGGGTATTTTATCCACTTCGATAGAAGCCGAACTAGCACTAGTGTCCGGTAATATATCTCTGATGAGGAACGACGTGCGACGTCCACTACACAATTTGTCCGGAGTGTGAATTGCATCGGATGAAGCCAACATGATGGGAGTCGCGACTAACAGACCACCGACTAGGCGCAAAGTATCTTACGAAAGAGTCTTTAAGAGCAGAGAAGAAAAAAGCAAACGCCAAATATATGTCGCACATTTACTATCAGCAGTAAATGGGAACTCCGTGGGTCTAATCAGGCATACAGGAGCTGATACCCCCTTATGGATCGTGTTGTTGGAAAAATCAATAGTCATAAGTCGGGACAAGAGGCCTTAATAACGATTAAGATTCCGATTCGGTGTAGAAAGTGAAGTGGCGAGTCGACAGCATTAAGAGCAGTTATCAACAGTTTTTGATGCTAGGGTCCGTTATTGATTAACTATCAATTCTTCATCAATGAGAATGGAGGAGCGAGCGAAGAAAAGAAAAGTGGGGAGGAAAAAAAGACATCGTCATAAACGCGTTCGACTCGGCCCGTCTCATTATGTTACTTGAATGGAATAATGTGCATTTCTGTAGTTCTTTAAAGAAAACTTCTCTTTTAAAACGGTTGGCGATCGTGTCGGAGGTTTTTGTGCTTCGGACGCCTTGTTAATGAACGTCATCATCAGGATACTGAAAAGAGCCGATGTAATGAACCGCCACCTTTCATCAACACCCATCTAGCTTGTTAAATGGCGGTGATACTGATAAGACAGGTTGGGCGATTTTTTTCGCTTATCCTCTTTGTTTGCTCGCTGGTGCAACCGACGAGAAGAAAGAACTCTCCCACTCCGAACCGAAAAAAATCAAAAGAGGCGATAAACTAGATTGAGTCGCGTAATTGAAAGTTTGTTTTTAGTCAAACTTTGTTGGTGGGACCGCAAATTACCTCCTTTCGGGACGTTTAATTGGCTCATCCCTCTTTCACACTTTCTCGAATTTCGTCCGTTACTTCTTGTTAAAGGACGTTCGAGTTTAGGAACACAACCGAAAACGTTCCTAGCACTTTCCCCAATTGAAAACTAATAAATTTATCTTTTTAATTTCATCTTCAGTTAAGGCGATCTCCTTAACTTTTCAAGATTCTATTTAATCAATCGTGACAAATAAAGAGCTTTATAAATGTTTTATAGCCTCATAAAGAAGTTTCCATTGTTGGGAATTACATAAAATTCTTTAACTTACTAAATAGTAACCAATTAAAAAGCAATTTTAACTTAGGAAACGATCAAAATCTACTTCTTTTCGTCTCCTTCGCTCATTTCTAGAGTCGTCTACTAGCATCTGTTTTCGTGTGTAGTTTCCTAGGACACCAACGACAACAAACATGGTAAGACAAAGGGATGATTTCTCCTAATTACTATCTAAATTGTTTAATTTAAAACATTTATTTATATTTAGACCGCTTTTAAACCGGTGGATTCGACTCAAGATGTAGATCAGGAGAGCCAAGGAGTACTTCCTATAAAAATCCTTCCCGATATAGGAGAATCTCATCCTTGTCCTTACTTCCGTTCTTCCAATTATATTATCAAAGTCGAATCTCTACCCAAGCAGAATATAGTATTTATCTTTATTCAACTAATATAATTTTGTTTTTATTCGATAAATTTTATATAATTATTTTTCAGGCACCGGTTCCTGTGCCCGTTCCTGTCAGGTAAATTTTAATCTCTTAATTATATAATATAATTGAAGCTTAATATAAAACTTATAATTAACAGTTATCATTATATTTTAATTCATAGAGCGAGACCCGTGAGTATTTACATATTTGGAGTCAACCATTGCATGCAACGGAAATTTATTCTATAATAGAGTTTTGTATTTCGATTTTTTCACTTAATATAGAATACTGTTATTTAGATTATTTATTTATTTAATGTAGAATTAATAAAACAACAAATGTTTCTTTAATCTTCTACATTTTCCTGAGCTAAAATCTTTAAAATTGGGTTACAATAGCTTAAAGATCAAGTAGAATATATTAAAACTCTTAATTACCTGGCTTATATTTATGATTTTTTTTTTAATTTATTATTTATTTTATAGCTGTAAAGTGATTATTAAATTAAATTTTAATAATATAAATCTTACAAATTTTTTATATAATTACAGTTTTAATGCTGAAAACATTCATATTATTCAGACTTTGATGAATCATAACCTACTTCTTTCATACTGTGAGAGATGATGAAATTTAATATTACTTCTAAAATTCATTTACTAAACATCTGTCTGCCATATTTAAATAAAATTATAGTTCATGTTACCTTTTTTTTTAATACTAGAATCTCAATTACTAGAAAACTGATCATTTATGTAGATGATAAAACCTTCATCTGTATTGAAGGTTTTATATATAAAAAAAGATTTGATAATTAGATTATGTTGATGATAAAATTGCTAAATCCTTCATCTATATGAAGGTTTTGTATCTATAGGCCTATCTCTATGGTGGATATTACTCATTTTATAATAAATTTTAAAGATTTATTTAAATAATTAAAATTTTCTTCCTTTATACAATTTTTTAAACTTTAATCATGTCTTCATTTAACCATAAAATACAAAGAATAATAGAATAAATACTGTCAAATTTTACAATTTTTGTAAGCGTTTATTTAANCAGTTTTAATGCTGAAAACATTCATATTATTCAGACTTTGATGAATCATAACCTACTTCTTTCATACTGTGAGAGATGATGAAATTTAATATTACTTCTAAAATTCATTTACTAAACATCTGTCTGCCATATTTAAATAAAATTATAGTTCATGTTACCTTTTTTTTTAATACTAGAATCTCAATTACTAGAAAACTGATCATTTATGTAGATGATAAAACCTTCATCTGTATTGAAGGTTTTATATATAAAAAAAGATTTGATAATTAGATTATGTTGATGATAAAATTGCTAAATCCTTCATCTATATGAAGGTTTTGTATCTATAGGCCTATCTCTATGGTGGATATTACTCATTTTATAATAAATTTTAAAGATTTATTTAAATAATTAAAATTTTCTTCCTTTATACAATTTTTTAAACTTTAATCATGTCTTCATTTAACCATAAAATACAAAGAATAATAGAATAAATACTGTCAAATTTTACAATTTTTGTAAGCGTTTATTTAACTTTACATTAAAACCGAATATTTTATAAATTTATACATAAAAGTTTCCGATTTAAAGCATTATATATGGATCCTGTATAGGAATTTGGAGACGAAGAAGCCGAAGAATTGCTAGATTCGTGGTTAGAAGATCTCAATCATGCTGTTGTATGGGAAACCATTTTAGATCTATCTAAAGACGTCAAACTAAAAGATTATATGGATAA